CTCAGTTTTAGGCTATTCGAAATTGTAATACGTAACATAACAAGTAAATATTAATGGATAAACCAATATTTTAAAATTAATATAATACTATAATAATAAACAAAAACTTCCTCATATTTTTATTAATATTTAAAAAGAGTAAATAAACAATGTTTAACTGAAATGTTTCTCAATCATTTGTCTAACGGTTCTTCATAATAGCCTTCAAATAGTTTAAAACATATACATAGTATATTCATTTCAAATTCAAACTTTCACTACAAAATAAACCTATGTAATTTTACTCTTTTCGGTGTATACCAACTGAATTTCGTTTTAGAATGATTATCAAAATTATATACATAAATAAAGACAGACTTTTGAAGCGTGCTTTTACAAATGGGAAAAAATTTAGATTAAAGTTTCTTTTCTTAGACTAAAACTACGTGATACGTGAGGTTTGTTGCGTCAAACTAAAGACTTAAAAGAAGTATAACATATAATAAGAGGTGCGATAATGACGATCTCGATGACAAAGTGATAAAGAATGATAGATGCCGGTACTGCAATTGAGCTAACATGATTTTTGAAACACGATCCTGTTGAAAAATAAAGCATTGAAATTATCACCCACTTTTAGAATGAAGAACAGTTTTTCTATTACGTACAATTTTTACTCTTACAACAATATATATGTATATATCTATTCGTAATCATTTAAAAATTTATGAAAATTGTTTTAAGATCATTATTCACATGAACTGCTAGAGTGAATATCCATGTTTTATTATTTATTTATTTACATGTAAAAAGCAGTTTTAAACACTGACCCCTCTAACAAACGATATTGCCACTATGGTCACGTCAATATATAATGAACACTTTGGCATTAAAAAAAAAGAACGTACTGAATCAGAAATAACGAGAAAAAAAAGAGAACATCTCTCTTACCTTTTTCCTTCAACATAGCAGACATTTTCTCTATGCTACAAGAAGAGAATTTTAGATGGTTAGGTTTTTTTCCAGAATTGGCAGCAGGATACATTATATAATTACCGTCGTCATCGTCCCCCGGAGAACATTTATCAACGACTCCTTCTTTGTCATGTGGCCCACCAAAACTGTGCCCTAGTTCATGGGATACAATTACAGCTACACCCAGTTTTGGTACAGGTGTATCTTCGTGCTTAATCGTCGCTATCAAAGTATTGAGGTACGTGGTTGCTCCATTCATCTCGACGGGCTTTTGACATATTCCACCAGTTACGCCAGGGGATGGTTTGTAAGCCAAGCCCATTACATGATTAGGAAAGTTTTCATTAAAGAAAGCCAAACTTAAGCAATAACTCTGCTCAAGACTCGTAAGCTTCTCTAAAAATTTTTCTGCCTTTCCAGTAACGCCGTTAAATGGATCATCAGTTTCTGATGCATAAACTGTAACTTTATCAATATGAAGACCAGCTTTAAAACCCACATCAAAATTCGTATCCACGAAAGCATCGTTAGCAGTTTTAATATAATACGTCATCTCTGAAGTGGCAGCTTTTTCGTCTTTTCCTTTGGCAGCATAAAAGGTGTTGCTTGCAACTACTTCCATGCCGCATACCTTAGTTGATTTCCAAAATCCAAATTTATTAAGAATAGGTTTCTGGGAACTAAAAAATAAAAAATAAAGAAATTACATAACTTTGTTATTTCAGTCTTAAATCTCTTTTTTTTTATTTTTCAAGAGAAATGAAAGAGAGGTTAAGCTACATGTTTAATGAACAAATAAGACAAAAATTCCTGCATATTATTACAAAAGTGGTGATTCAGAACATTCGCTTTTATTTCTTCATTTGTTTGTGTTTTCTAAACAATCTTTAGGAACAATCAAATTACAGTATATATATATATATATATTAACGGTTTCTAGAGAATTGTATTTTAGAGTAATGCAGCAGAAAATGGGGAAAAAGTTTAAAGGGGATTTCAGCCCTGAAATGCAGATGGTATTCTAAGTTTTAGATAATGCTCTTGAAGCTCAAAACACAAAATCTTATTATAAAGAGTGGATAGAGAAAAAATGCTTATGTATATTTTCAAAACACTTGGGGGGGGGGCGTGATACTCCTTCATCAGTAAAAAAGAAAAAAGAGTTTGTGTCAAGATTTGTCCACGCTCAGTTATCACTGATGTTTATTTGTTATGGGTGTAAATCAGAAATTAATACTAATACTGAGTTGGTTGGAAAATTTAAATTTAGAAGCAGTTTCTTTCCAAGCTTTAATGGTAGAATGAGATAGTTTAGTTGCAAATGGAAGACTACAATAAACAATCGAATTTGTTTGTTTTTGAATTTCGCGCAAAGCTACATGAAAGCTATCTGCGTTAGCCGTCCCTAATGTAGCAGTGAAAGACTAGAGGGAAGGCAGCTAGTCAGCACCACCCACCGCCAATGCTTGGGCTACTCTTTTACCAACGAATAGTGGGACTGACCGCATATTATAACGCCCCCACGGCTGAGAGGGCGAGCATGTTTGGTGGGATGGGGATTTGAATCCGATTCAAGCGCCCTAACTACCTAACCATGCCAGACCGTATCGAATTTAAAACTGGAATCAGATATAAGAGAAATTAAATATGTGTAAATAATTTTGTCCCACATGTACTTTGTAAACTATTAATATCGATAAAGCAAGATCTGATATATTGAATCTCTTTTTAAAAACTTGTAAAATCAGAACAAATAGATTCAGCCTTATTTAGTAATATGTTTCTCTGATGAAAAGCTGCTGAGAGATAGAATTGGTAGCCGTCCAATGAACATAAAGATTAGTGTTCATACATTCACGAGCAACTCCGATCTGAAGTCATTCATGCTGTTGTGGGGTGTCTTGATAACGATTCTAAGTCCGTTTTTTCATAACTTTTTTTTTTACCTTTCTATGATTCATTACAATTTTCAGTTTATCATGGCCGACATGATGGACTTGAAATGGGTAATCTCACTTCTCCTAACGTTTATCATTCAGATTGGACATTTTGTTATCAACATATCCTTGTGTTCCTCTTTCTTGAATCCGCTACGTGAAAGACGCCGTTCCATGTTTCAGGAATCGCTTTTCTACTCCAAGTTAATTAATAAGTCCAGTCTGTAGAGTTTGACACCAACAGACACCCTCTTGCCCGTTCTTAAAGTTTTAGCCAGTAAAAATACAATGAATTTCAAACCCAAAATTTTCTCAACTTGTTCATTAGACGTGTGCCTACTCTGTTTCTTAAAATTATCCATCTTAAATACACTACTGGTCACTTCTAAATTTATTTTCTTATCGTACTAATTTTCACGAAGAAATTCAATTTACAGTATCTTGCTTTATTGATATTAACAGTTATATAAGAAGATTAGTGACAAAACTATTCATATATATTTATTTAGATTATTATAATACGTGTGATTTTGATTTTAAATCGATACTTTTGTTATTATGGCTCTCCTTTTATACCTCAACCACCACAATCTACCACCAAATATTGAAAGAAAGGCCTCTAAATTTAATCATCCTCATCAAATCAAGATTATTTACTGTTAAGCGTGGCTGTAAAGTACTTAGATTAACTTTTGTTTTTTACTCAAACAAAAATAAACATCTTATACGTATACCAGATGAACTGTAATGAATTTTCACATATTTTACAAGGATGGATCCAAACATGCAATATCTTCTTTTTTTTTTCGGTTGGGCCTGCCATAACATGGTGATTATGGCGTTAGGCTCGCAACCTGGAGGTTCCAAAATCGAACACTATAATCGAAAATTCTCGCCCTTTCAACAATAAGACTTATAAAGTGATGGTCAATCCCATTATTCGTTGGTAAAGAGAAACTCAAGAGTTGACCGGTGAGTAATGTTGAATAGCTGCTGTCTCTCTATTTTATCACTTCGAAATTGGGAATAGCTAGCTCAGATGACCCTCGAGTAACTTTGCACGAAATTCAACAAATAAATCATTAGGGTTGAATGAGCATTCGCCCCAGCCCCTCGTGTGTTTTGGAAAGTTTCCATACTGCAGAATACCATGCTTCTCCGTTTACTATTTATCAAAAGATTTTGTTTTTAGCCCACTGAATACTATTTATATTTCAAGACTAAAATTCCCTTTATATTTTCATCCTGATATCCCACTTTATTTGTCGTATTACTGTACTATATTTGTTCCATTTGATTCTATCCTATGTTGTTGTTCCTGATGATGCAAACCAGATTTAATGTTTAACTTGTATCAGTTTCAGCTGTTGTATATGAATTCAATATGATTAGATTAAAGAAAAACCTTCAATTGCAATATTATTTCTTTGATTTTCACATGAAAACAGGAAAGTTTTGACTACCACGTTGTTTATTGAAAGCCTTAATAATAAGATATGTTACCAGATTTACTATTCATTTGTGTATTGACATTGAAGTTAACAAAAAACAACAACATCTATTTTTTTTAATGTTATATTGTATTTGTGAATGACAATTCGATCTAAACTTTGATTTGTCTTATGTTTTAATTCATATAAATTTAATTTTACGAAAAACATTTTTTTTTATTCTATTAATCACATTTAAAAACATTTTCATGAAATTTTAAACATTACTCATGGATCACAGTTTGAAAAACTCTGGACTGTGATATTAAAATTGTTTTCCAATTGAAAAGAAGAAAACAATAAAGATATATTTCCAGACAATCTTAATATTATTTATGTATATATATATATATA